AGATAGATAGATAGATAGATAGATAGATAGATAGATAGATAGATAGAGTTTGAATCACCACTTTCCATTTTCACTCCTGTCATACACTAAAACTGGACTTTTCTCACTATCTACGTGATGTTTGCTCTCATCTTTATTCATAAAATATATAAAACAGAACTTTAGCTACAATTTAAAGTGGCTCAGGGAGAGGATAGAAACTCGGAGCACGACGCGCACAGCTGATTCCATCCGAATGAAACTGATCCCAGATCAGAGGAAGAGGCAGGAAATGAGTTAGAAACACTTACCTGTGAATTTTCCCTAAAGTTTTGCCCGCGGCGGCCTTGAACCTGTCTGGGCGGATCTCCATCCTTGCGGCTCCCTGACCCGGCCGGTGTGCTGATGTCGCCCGCGCGCCCGCTTGTCCCGCCTGCGCCTCTCTCTCTCTCTCTCTCTCTCTCCTCCCTCCCTCTCTGTGTTCCTCCCCCTCTCATCCCTCCCTGCACGCTCAGATGGGCCCATAGGCAGGTGCAGCCTTTAGCTGTCACTGCAGGTTCACACAGTTATTTTTTTTTTTTATATATAAAGAAATCATTTCTGTCTGAGTGATGGTGTAAATAAAAAGTTCAAATGTCATAGTTAGATCACACTGATAACATATAGGCCTACTGACATCTCCAAACACTAACCCACCTGAACTGTTTTGCAGAAAATACTAAGTAGCTATGAAGTCACAATATTTTGAACCTGAACGGGTAAATGGAGATTTTAAGGCACACTCTAAATAAAAAGAAATATGCGCTGTTTTTATTGCACATTTGTTTTATCTTGAAGTCAATGGTTTTGGCTCATTTTAAACAAAGTAAACTTTGTTGGATTAAAACAACAGAATGGGATTTCTGCATAAATTAACCACTTTGCCTAAAATACCATTCCCTTTAAGAATGGTGATTTTTATATTTGCACGTGGATTAAGCGGCATGGTCATAAGACAAGTTAAAACAGGTTAAGTCATGAAGAGGTAATATCTTACCTGCTGTAGATAGGTCTTTGAATGACCTGATTTTGGACAAATACTGACTGGATTGATGAGCCATCAGCTCGTTTGAGCAGGGCCAAGCCCAAAGTAGATTGCTGTCATTTAAAAACTATTTCAATCTAAATTTTCACAGCGGTTCATGCAAACTGTTTTAAAAACTTTCTCACTGCTGCCAGTTTCACATTAAACAGTTGGCACATATGAAATATGAGACTTTAGCATAAAGTGTCCCAGGCTGTGCTACAGCCGCTGCTATTTGTAACCATATTAGTCTATGTGAATAACTGTGTAGGGCCAATCTGACCATGTAAAAGTCTCTAAATTAGCATTTAAAGGAGTAAATTTGAGGTTGAAGTTGTTTTAAGGCAACAGCAACCCTTTGTGGTCTTGGCTCTGCTTCAGCTAGTCATTAGCTCATGAATCCAGTGAGAAATAAACTTAATTTTTCCAAAATGGCATAAGTGAAAGAGCTATCTGCAACAGGTAACAAGCTAATTATTCATTACCTTCTCACAGAACATCATTTTACAAGATCTGAACTATCACTTTAAAGTCAACTTGAAGTTTAGGTAAAATTCAGTCACTTTAATTTTCAGCCTATTTTTTATTTATTGGAACAAATTTCAACTTGACAGACTGTCACCCTCTTGACAACTACCTATTCAATTGACCAGGACTTAGAGAGAAAAAAAAATACACAGAAACATAATTAAAAATTAAGTCTCAAAAGGTTTTTAAAATTAAGAATCATAAAAACACAATTCGACTAATAGCATTGTTTATTTCTCTTGCACTCTTAAACAGCACAATGCTGCGACAATCAATGTTTTTTTTTTGCACACGTTTAAAAAAGTCAAAGCTGTCTTATGAGGTAAAATTATACAAATGTAAAGTAAAGCAAGTTCACATGTTCTTCAAAACTAAAACGATTCACAACATTCAGTCTCGTCCCACAAAAAACAAGCAAACCACAAAACTTGTTGCTACAGAAAATGTAGTTTTGACACATATTTAGTGTTTCATGACAAGGTGGGATTCAGCAGGCGGTAACTCAAGAAAATTACATCTTTATGCATTTGTTTTACACTAATAACTTAACCCTTTAGTATCCAACTCTAAATAAGCTCACTTTGCAATGTGAAAAACAGCAACTGAGTGAAATGACTTTTCATATAAAGGCACTTTAAAATATTTGTATTGCAAAGGAAGTTGATTCCATTTCAGCCAAAGCTGTGTGCGCAGCGCCACCTACCCAACTACTGTCTCCTCAAAACTGAATTTTTAGCCCTAAAATATGATGCAATAGTCCTGTGTGCTTCTACATATCTAAAGTTGTTTTTATTAGTGTAGATGAACAGATGCTGGGATGTATTCATCATTTAACGCGAGTTCCTCATTTTTCTGGACTGAATAAAACGTGCATTGAATTTAAGGAAATGCAAACGTGAGACGTCATTTAAATTTGACCCATCAAAATGAATGCGGTCATTTATTTACAGAATCAAATTTAACATCAAACATTTACATTAATTTGGCAAATTATGAAAATAACAACAAAGCAATCAATCAGGAAAAATCATACGGCCATGATTTCTCCGTTGCTGCACCAACAGACATTTATAACTGTACAACTATGATCTTTTACCCACATGAATGTGGGTAAGCACTTTACACAGACATTTCTAAATATCTGGGAGAATTTCTACTTGATAGAAAAGTTTAAGATGAAAGATGAAGTTTAAAGGGGAGAAAGATGGTGTTTGAGGTAGAGTGTTGAACAGAACGGCACTCTCCGGGCTTTCTTCAGCTTTTCCTCACAGTACACTTAGGTGGTGAAAACGACTCTTTTACCTGGAGATGTCTCAGGCGAGATTCCGTTTAACGCACCCTTTCAGCGTCTCCGTAGGATGCTGTTACTCGTCCGGAGTAGCTGCGAGGTTCTGTCAGCCACAGCTCACCTCAGTGGAAAATGTTATAATCCCATGGAACTCGGAAGAGCTTCGTTGTCATGTCAGGAACTCCAACAGCACTCCATCAGAACTCCAGAACTCTAGAAGTCTGACAACTCTCCAACTCTGAGTACCTGTGTGTCTCTCCGTGTCCCTGTGAGTCCGTCTGCATACCTGTGAGTCTGTGTAGACCAGGAAGTACTGACATTTTAAAGACTCTTTCCCGGTTCACTTTTTGGGATTTTTCATTGGTCAGAAACGACCAGAAGGGGTGTGTTTTTGTGACGTAAGAGGTTAGAGACAGCGAGAATTGTTATGAGACAGCTCAGAAATGTTCTCACAGACCGAGAGGGTTCTGTTTTGGCGTGCCTTAAGAAACAGGTGCAAAACATCTCTATTTACGTCTGAGAGGATTCTAAAACATGACAGTTTTAACATAACAACTTGTTTTTCGTTTGACTGTAACCTTGTAAACGCACACACTTGCTCATTCAAAAGCAGAAATCAGAAAAATGCATAAACTCTGCACAGCTTTTAACATGAGAATAAAATCATTACTCAGTTAATAAAATTGATTAGTTCACTGCAACATCTAAAATGGTTTGAACTAAGACACTTTGATTATCAACATTTGTAAGATAGTAATGATAATAAAAAGAGAGTGTTCTTTTCACTTGAATCTTCAAGAAAGAAAGTCTCAGGATGGGTGAACCTGTATTTATGGAGTCAAATACATGAAATGACAGCTTCTGTCCCACAAGGTTCTAAAGGTCAAGAGTTTTGACCTTAGACTGGGTTTCGACGTAGGCTTAGTCCACTACAGTCCCCCCTTTGGAAATCATCACCTGTCCATGGGGATGAATTCCAACTATGGACTTACGCCGTCGATTGTCCTTGAAGCTTGATGTAATCCAGCAAAGAAACAGGAGTCAAGAGTAATCCAGCAAGGAAAACAAAAGTCAAGGTAATCCAGCAAGGAAAACAAAAGTCAAGGTAATCCCACAATGTTCTTGGTAATTCCATTGTGTTGATTATAATTCCATATCGTCTCGATACTCCATTGTAGCAATGCTTTAACCCCTTGGAAACAGAGTCTGTAATCCACTGGAAAAAGTCATATAATCCACAATGGTAAATCCACAACGATTGGAAGTGTTGATTAATCAGCATACAGAGGGGTACCCTTGGATTGAACTGAAGAAGCGGCCACCGGATGAAGAGTGGAGACCAACGTCAGGATTGCAGGTCGCCTCCAGCGAAGGTTGTCTCCAGCGACGTCCAGCCTGTGCCGTTCTGGTTCAATGTGTCATGCAATTATGTGGTTTAAGGTGGGCTTATGAAGGGGATTTTACATAAGGCCTTAAACTATATGCACCTGGTGTGTAAGCTATTATGGTTGGGAACAGCTACAACTACCAGTTAAGGGGTGGAGCATGCTGAAAGGGGTAACTACAGGGGTTTAAGCCTATAGAAAAGGGTTCCAAACTATTTTTCCATTTCTAACTTGGCTTAAGTTAGCTTTACATGGCAAAATATAGTTTGGTTCAAATGTCTGTTGTCTTTTAGACGAACGACTTGAGATTGGGTGTTTGGTTTCCCATAAATGTTTTGGAAGTCTATGGCGAGACTTATCAAAAAGAATTAGCTATCCCCCCGAATAGAATTGTTCGAGTAGGTTCGGCTTAAGTGTTGTGAGATCAATGTAGATTATGGTACTTAAGGTAACAATAATATACATTGACTCCGCAAGGATTGCAATTTAATGAATGAACTGCATGTTGGCATGGTCAAAGGCTTCTTAGTCTCTAACTTACTACACACAAGATTCATTCTTACCTCAGAAACAACCAAAATCAACTAAACAACGTTTCAACACCGACAAGAGTAGTGACTAAGCATCTAGAAACATCGTTTCACTGCTCCTCCTCACCCTGGTTGTCAGTTTCAGTCGCGCTGTCCCGTGTGAGTGGCTTCTTTGCGGACCCGCTTACGCGAGGCATAATCATATCGAGGTGCGCTGCATGGCGATCCACGTCGACTCGGAGTGACGTTTGGCCCCGGGACAGGGATGCGAGTATCCCACACAATACGAGGGTTATCGTCATTAGCAGGGCTATGATTAATGTGTCCGCGCTCGACCACGCATAGTTAATTGGTTGGATCGGGTTCTTAGTTGTGGACCTGAGGGACTTGAGAACTTGGTTTATTGGTTCCACGTCGACGACTTGGGTGCCTTCAAAACGGATCCTTCCCAGAGTCTCTGGATCTATGTCTATAGACATATTTCTCAGGTACTCTGAGTCATCCAGAGTCGCGTCCCATCGTTCCGGATCGAGGTGATAGAGCGTCAAATCACCAATGTGTATGGTTGTTCCCTGGGGAACACTGATCCACATCGTTTTGTCCGGTAACGCCAAAGGTCTATTTGCCCCGG